CCCTCCAAAAAGGTTTCGTAGGTGTCTAAAAGCTTCCAAATGCGTCCAAATGCTTAAAAAAATGGTTGTGAAAATCTACGAAACCTTAAAAGGATCGGGTCGCGGGCACACCGCCCGAACCATCTCCTACGAAACCTATTTAAGTTCCGTAAAGCGAAAAAAAGGTTTCGTAAGAAAATACGAAACCTTCATAGTTTCCTAGTAAACCTTGTGGTTTCGTATAAAACTATAGTGCGAAACGATAGGGTTACTACGAAACTATGAAGGTTTCGTATTTTCTTACGAAACCTTTTTTTCGCTTTACGGAACTTAAATAGGTTTCGTAGGAGATGGTTCGGGCGGTGTGCCCGCGACCCGATCCTTTTAAGGTTTCGTAGATTTTCACAACCATTTTTTTAAGCATTTGGACGCATTTGGAAGCTTTTAGACACCTACGAAACCTTTTTGGAGGGCTTGGTAAAATATCTTTTTTTTTACAGTGTACTCCGCGAGTACGAGTGGAGTACATTAAAGTACAAGTACTCCTGGAGTCTCGCTCCCCTCACCCACTTGTATCAGCATTATTCAAGCATCAGAAGTACTGAAACGATGCTGAAATGCTGAAACAAGATGTCGAAGACGCACTCTGAACGTTTATCAGCTGGAACGAAAAAATAGCAATAGAATATCACTGACCTCATTACAACCATGTGGCTGATAAACACACATTTTCTTGTTCGTTGCGAGCTGTTCAATAATGAATGCAGGACATGGTCGTTGGACGAATGAGCTGCATCTTAGTGGACATTTATTATTATTTTCACTAAGCCATTTAGTGATGCACGTCGAACAGAATGAAGTCTCGCATGTTTGGCAAGCTATTGGCTCTCTCAGAACATCAAGACATATCATACACTGAAGATCGATTGGATCTATCCTAGGTAATTCTGGAATACAATCAGGTGAAATTTCCTCTTTGTTTGCAGTTGCCATCTAAATAAAAGGTGACAATCAAATGATTTCATATGCCAGATTTACATATTTTGTCGAAAAAATAACAGTCGTTGAATTTGAAATGATGTACTGTGTGCAAATCCTTATGCAAACCCTTAAGGATGTGGGTGAGGGCATTGTGTGAAGGTGACGATGCGGCGGGGAGGGGGGGGGGGGGGGGGGGGGGGGGGTGGCGGAGGGTAGAATGTGGTGTGGGTGTGGGTGTGTCTATAAATGGGACGAATACCGACACCCACACCCTTTTTTCGTTCTGCTTCAGTTTTCTCATTAGATATATGATATTACGCAGTTGAAAATAAACAAAAGCAACTGATCTTTTGCCGTTTGCATTGTTGTATAAAAACGTCTCATTTTCATATTATAATTTATTATTACTTGTAAATAGCCGTAGATTGTATGAACGTAAAATAAGCTGCGATATAGTGAATCTATATGACCGTCGCATTCCCTTATTTCGCATAGCAAGCTGTGTCCAGTGGCGACCCAGCATCCTAAATTGTGATGTGGCAATAAGTTGTAACTGTCACGATTGTCCTATAATCAGCAAAGGTAAATTCCATTTTCGTCGATAATTCATTTTCTCCGACAAAATTTCACCGAAACTAATTAAAAGTTAATTATGGCTGATGTTTTAATTGATAATTCTGTTTTTAATAATTAGTCTATCATATCAAGTCAGTTGGTTGCCAAGTCGATGAAAACTTCTCTCAAGCTGAAATAGATGCCACTGTAGGGATGATTATCTATGTTAATCTGTATGCATACTGGTGGCGTCAATTCTGTTTGTTCGAAGGAGGCTTTTGATTTCTAATGTGCAATAAAATCGAAAGAAAACAAAGAGATGTAAAGGGTGTGGGCGTGGGTGAGGGCGAGGCTCCCTCACTCACCCCTCATCTACACCCTCACCTGCAACCGACTGATTTGGTAACCAACTGACTTGATATGATAGACTAATTAGTAAAAACAGAATTGTCAATTAAAGCATCAGCCACAATCAATTTTTAGTTAGTTTCGGTCATCATTGACTGTCGGTGAAAATCGTTTTCGGCGAAAATGGACTAAATCATCAGCAAATACTAGAGCAGCGGAAAAAAAGCTTTTCGAAAATTTTTACATTTTTAAAAAAAACGTGGAGGTAGATTGACGATTTTTCTGAAAACTTCCATACATTTTTGGAAATTTTCGAAGAAATTTATAAAGTTTTCTACCAAAAAAACAAATTTGTGAAAATTGAACGGTCGCCAATCACCTTTCACGCTTCGCTGTAAAGACGTTTGGTGATGGTTTATATTATTATTTAAAAAATCGTGTTTTTAGATTGTTTTGACTAGACAAATACATACATATAGGCTACTAACAATTTTCTCAGGTATGGCAATTGCTACCAGTTGCCCTCTGGCGGCCCACCAATGGCTGTGTCTTAGAAGCGTAGTAGATTCCAGAAGTGTCACGTATTTACCGTAACAAAGTACAGTATTCATCAGTGGTCGAGCAAATAAATTCTTTTATAAAACTGAGTGAAAAGGTTAATCTACTTTTTGAAACACTGGTTCTTAGCAAACATTGGTGATAGTCGACTGGAGCAATTCACTAAAGACACGCTCGGATATGATATGATCACGTAGAAGTAAACATCATGATAATGTGTAAGTTGTAAATAATATCACATGACACATTCCAGATTGATAGACAGAAGGGCAAGTAAATAAGACACGCTTTCAAAATAAAACAGCGAGATGAAATAAACTAGCAGAAGACTAAAAACAGCAGTCCAAATACGATCTGATGGGTAGCTTGATAATGAAAGTGAGATGTCTTAATGAAAATTTTCTTTTCTTCTTTTTCTACTGCCAACAGGACCACCAAAAAGATAAGCGACTGATGATATTGTTTCAGTCAGTGATCTTTTGTTTAAAGTCAACAAATTTAGAAGCTTGGCGGTCTATTTACTCGTACGAGCAGCTATATGTGTTGATTTGTGTGATTTAGCTGCTGAGAATCCTAATCCTGCCTGAATTATTCTGTGAGATATTACATTCTCCTCTTGTTTTCAAGCTTTGTAAAAAGCATAAATTGACCAATCTGCAAAATATCTCAACATAACATACACTAACACTGGACATTGAATCAAAAGCTGGTCTGTGTTTGCCAAATCGGCAAGACCATAGAAGAAATCGTATGAGAATTGGAAAGAGATTCTATCATATGTCAATGTCCTCTGCTCGAAGAGCTAAGAATGTGATAGACATTCACCAGTATTGGCGTATGTCAACATGACTTTCGTCAATTGGCGAGTGTTCGGGGGATGTATTGACGAAAGTCGTATTGGCCAACTTCAGGTTACTCATTATCTATATTTGCAGGACGTCATACGAATTCAATTAGTTACTGTAATTTATATAATTGTAATGGTGCAAATTAAGTTTGCGATGTTCTCTTTTTCATAGAGAAGAGTCCAGCAAACATAAATTGTCTGCTTGCTTGTGTGTTTGCACTTCACTGATTGATTGGAGAATCATGCCAGAACAAAAGACATAATCCTCTCAAAAACTTGACTGAAGGTAATTGAGGGTGGAGAATCCGAATCCGAGATCAGTTTTAATTAATTAATTATTAATATTTTTTTTTAAACTCGAACAAAAGAGATTGATGATGGAGAAGCTGAAGACAGTTTTAATTATTAATTAGTGATTATTAATTATCTCGAAAGTATGTAATTATGAGTGGGTGAGAGATGTATAACACAACCACATACATCCTAAATAAATAATTTGCTGCTAGCCCAGAAGCACCCCTTCAACGAGGAATAGCTAAGCGAGTCTACAGACGAGTGTTACTTGTAGATAATAGGAAAAAAAGGGTTACAAAGTATTCTGAGAGTCGCTTGGTATCTAAACTTTATCTTGCTTAATCGACTAACAAACTTACATGTGTTTTTGTTTCTATATCGCTCTTTAAACTTCGATATCTATTCAAGCTCATCGAATATTCTAAAGTTGTGAAATAACTCACCAGATTTTCACAATGACTAACATCGCAGATTATAGATATCTTATTTCAGCTCTATATGTCTGATATTTCAAATATTTGATTTTTCTTACAAATCATTTTAAGAAACTACTCACCACAGTCAAAAAATCCAAGATTGGACGATGTGTAACTGTCGATTTCACTTATTATTAGATATGTGATGTGATATTGTTTTTTTCCTTCGTTAAAAGATTCGTTTATAACTTCTGCAAGGTGAAAAAGTTTTTTATTTCTTTTTTTCCTTTTTTGCTTCGTGTGTTTTGGTGGGTTTTTTTTCAACTATATATTTGATTCCTAACGACTGTATATTACAAAGATAAAATACTCAAGGTGAAGAGAAAAGGATGAGTAAATGCAAGCAAGAAAAAAAATGATATAGAATAACAAAAAACAAGACTTTTTCATTGGCAACGAGGATTCGTTTATGACTTTGCAAGGTGAAGAAATCTTTCGTTCCTTTTCCTCTTCTTTTGCTTCGTGTGTTTTGGTGGGTTTTTTCCAACTATATATGAGCAAAATCAGGCAAATAGGACATTTTTCTTGTTTTTTCAAACGTAAAACAGATATGCTAAAATATAATAGAGTAGTAGCCTACACCCTGGTGTATAACTCGTTATTCTTCTTTTCTTCAAAATTATAATACCATCATTCTATTTTTTCATCTTCTTGTTCGATTCATTGCGCAACATTTGTCTACTCTGATCATTATATTCGGATCTGCTCGACAACGATCAATAACTCAAACGATACAAACTTATAAATAACATGTTTATCGACAGTTAGAAGGACATAAACAACTGTTGATTAGCCCCGTCATTCTGCTTATTTTGTCATTACCTCGTCTAATCATGTCAATATTATCTGGATGTGTAAATGCATCTAATTATCCATGATTGTTTCTTTTTGGTTATTTCATCTCATTTACCCCATCAATGCTTACCTTTATTGTATTTGCTCTTCCTTCGAACTTGTATAAAGAAAAATTAAAACAATCATTTATAAGATGGACACGACGAATTCATCTATAATCATTTTTTCGTAACTTCTATTTAAATATTTATCATAGAGTATGAATGGGTGTAGGTCATTGTATGAAATAGGGATGCACCGGTGACGACTCACCGTTCACCGGTCTCACCGGTCGATCGATTCACCGTCCACCGGTTCACCGGTCAGTACGGTGAACCGGTGGACCGGTGAAACCGGTGAACGGTGAACCGGTGGACCGGTGAGACCGGTGAACGGTGAACCGGTGGACCGGTGAAACCGGTGAACGGTGAACCGGTGGACCGGTGCACCGGGGTACGGTGGGCCGGTGGGACCGGTGCACCGGTCACTTTTCTGTATTTCGGTGTCTCTCCTATACGGTACATCTCAGTAACTCGAGTACTTAATTTTCTTAGAAGAAGTGATCCCTCGTCCTAATTAATTTTGGGGAATATTGATCAGAACTTTGGCGTTAAACAGAGAATCGAGCTGATAAGGTTGTAAAAGGCCATCATGGAGACCGGCATATTAGTACTACTGGAAGCATTCAGTCTTCTGTTGTCTGAGTGATAGCGGAAACCGGTTATCATCGCAAATTTTCGTAGTTCTATATGGACAGTATTGATATTGACTAGAAATACAACGGTGTAGGTCATTTCACTGGTGAAAACCGATAACTATACCCATGGTTGCTGCTACAGTTGCAATCATTGTACCTAGGTTTTTCGATGCAATTGCGCTAATCGTACTAATGGTTACTGGTACATCTAAGATCACTTTATATACGGTTACGGATCTAACTGTCATCACGGATACTAGAGTTATCAATCTAACTACAACAGCCGTAGCTATGCTTACCAATCTAATTACTATCATCTAAGTTATGGTTACTCGCCAAACTACGATTATTGTAAGTAAATCTATTGGTGCAGCTACGATAAATGCATCTACGGTTACCACTT